AGCAGCATTTTCATAGCTTCCGGGACTGTCAACCAAGAAATTTACGTGAAAGAGTGTTTGAATAAACGTCTGCTGCCTTTCCTGAAGAAACACGGTTGTTCCGTACTGTTTTGGCCGGATTTGGCATCTTGCCATTACGGTAAAAAGGCCATGGAGTGGTACGCCGCCAACAACGTGCAGGTGGTTCCCTAGGACAAGAACCCTCCCAACACGCCAGAGCTCCGCCCAATTGAGAAATACTGGGCTATTGTCAAGCGGAACCTAAAGAAGACCAAAAAAACTGCTAAGGGCGAGCAGCAGTTCAAGGCAAACTGGCTTTCTGCGGCGAAGAAGGTGGACAAGGTGGCTGTACAAAATCTGATGGCAGGGGTCAAGCGTAAGGCCCGGCAATTCGGATTTGGAAAAGCGGAAGCCTAACTGAATATTTTTCCTGAATTTTATACTAATTGAACTTGAAAAAGAAATTTAATTTGATTTTTTAAATAAACGATTTCACCGATTTACACGCGTTTTCCCTTGACCAAGTTTTAACCGTATCACCCTTTACTATGAGAGACATTGTGCTTTCCAGCGTCGTTCCGGCTGGAGAAGTTAGGATTCCGCTTATATTTCACCGCCACCTTCTTCGTCGTCGCTGCCTCGTCCGGATTACGATTGCCGCTGCTTCCAGGCTTCCTGGCGGTCGACAGACGCTCCCCGAACACTTTTAAAACGTTTGCCACGGTCTATTTGGCCACATCCAGCAATTTTGCCAACTTGGCGTGTTAGAACGTCGGAATCTCTTGCTGGGTGAGCAAAATTTTGACACGCTGCTCCTCTTGCTTGGACGTCATTTTGAAAACTGGAGAGCAAACGGTGAAAACTCATCATAGCAACCATTGTATATACACTCAACTTCCAAATGCAGCATTTCAGGTTTTTTATGAATTTTTAATAGAAATACACCAATTTGAAGTTGACCAATTTTCGTGCGTTCCAGACTTTATGAGGCACCGTTCTGAAGATTGGCTGCATCGCGACGAGGAACAACGTGACCGATAACACCGACCCTTTGGGAACTCCGTTTTCCATTGGCATTTCACTCGATAAATGCTCTTCCACGTTCACCCGGAATGTTTTGTCGGCGAAGAAACTGTTCAAAACATTGGTGGGCATCTGCCACTTCCGCGCAGAGTGCATAAAATGCCGTACCTCTAGGTGGTATCATATGTCTTCGATAGCTCGAGCGATGCTATCAAGCAGTGTTCATCATGATGTCCAAGTAAGTTTCAACCCCGCGCCCAGCTCTAAAAGCGCCCAGTACCTTCGCGATACAGTTAGTCAGAGTGATAGCCGGCATGCTGCAGGACCAGACTCAGATGAATTCGGCTTCGAAATCGGCACTATTATTCCGGTTCTCCAGCTGATAGGGTACACCACTACCACACCAGACTCTGTTTAGAAGCTCCAGTAACGCGATCTTGACGGATACAGGCAGACGTCGGAGCATCGGATACCTTACCGAGTCAGGACCTGTAGAGACACTACGTCCTTTGTCGAGTGCGAACAGAAGCTCTTCAAGGGTGAAGTCCGAATTATAGATGTCGTTGGTGTCTGGAAGAGAGTCCACGTGATCCCGTTCTGCTCTTTCCTTCACTGCTTGGAACAGTGGGGGATAGCTAGAGGTCACCGATCTCTCGCAGTAGTGCTTCGTCAGTTATTCTGACTTATCCGTGTAACCATCGGGTAGTTCAAAAACAGCCTTGTTGAGCTGCCGCTTACCTCTCAGGGTGTTCATCGTCCGCAACATTTCTGCCTTTGTGCTGCTCGGAGATATTTTTGCGACAAAGTCCTCCCATGAACGTTCCTTAGCTGCCTTCTTAGCCGCTGCCTTCGCATTCTGAAACTGCATCAAAACATCAGTCGTGTCTAATCCTGCTTCTCTGATGCGCTCAGTGCTCTCAGAAGTTTTCGGCGCCGCTTGATCCGAGGGGGCCACACATCTAAATCTCAATTCTAGATGCTCAACAAATCTCACTCTAGCGAATCAATCTTCGAAAAATCTTCAATCATTTCTCGCATCAACTTGCATCGCGTATCATCATATTGCAGGAAACCTTCAGAATCATCATCAATCTTCTTTGTATCTACTCAGCGTGCGCGCAGCTAGCCACTGCAAAACACAATCTTTCCTGCATCGTAGATAGAGTCGTCCCCCTCGGTTTAATCGCTGTTTTCACTTCCAGTACCGATTTGGGACCAATTCGTCCTGATGTTCGAGGGATGCATGCTGCTGATAATACCCGACCGACGAACTCATCAACGCCAAGCTCGTCGTCTGGTTTGATGCTGCGGGAAGTCAGCCGTTCGAACGATGACCAATCCGCTTCGTTGTGACCTGTGAGCATTAAGGTGAAGAGACGGTGATCGGCAAGTGGTCACTGCTGTGGGTGTCCGGAAGAGTTCACCAGCTAAATCTGTGAGCTAGCACCTCTGAATAGATCGAGGTATCTATAGCTGAAGATGAACCAGTTGCTGGGTCCATTCGTGTGTGCGATCCGTTGTTCAAGATGATCAGCTGCTTAGTTCGCGTTTTCTCGGCGATGTAGCTGCCGAGTGCATTTGAGATCGTGGATCCCCAGGTGATTGTCATAATATTTGTTGAACGAATCCTGATTATTCAAGCAGGGTGAGCAACCAGTGGCTCCGCGTATCGCTCATCCGAGGAGGAAAAACATATTGATTCTTCATGGCAAGTAGATTGGATTCATGTCGATGTTGTCCATTTGTCAACTTGTCACTCCCAACATAGTTTACCCATTTTTAGGTAGGTTCAGTTTTGACCGATCTGGGTGGATTCTACCCAAATTTGGGTAGTTTTGAAATAGCTTGAAGAGCACTGAGCATCCTAACCTCCGCCCACGTCAGTCATTTTGTTCAGGGACGGGACTTGACAATCCAGCTTCTCACTCTTCCTGATGTTTTTGATGAATGTGTGGTATTTGACGGAGTTGACCACCCAAGTAACCAAAAGTTCTGATAAAAGGCCATTTGTGGCTTAAGCAGCGTAGTTAGTGATGGTCTTTAGAATTCTAAGCAGCCTCATTTTTAAGTCGTTATAAGAACTTGAAAGTTCCGGTATCATAATTGAAGAGAATTCTAAGCAGCTTCTGGCGGAACTTGAACGGAACTTTTAGAAAATAAATTAAAAAGGGTTTTTGCCCTCTAAACCAATTCTATGTTTAGTTCGCACTTTTATGAAAGTTATTTCTAAAGGCAGGTATTTATGTTTATTGATTTATCAGCATTAGTAGTTTTGGAGCTGTTTGAAGAATTAAACCCAGTCCTTCTGCGTGAGAGCCCCAGCACGAACCGCTGCGTCATCTGAAATATATTAAAGCGAGCTGTTGTCCCGCCTACTGTTGGAGTTTTCAGTGCCAGCTGACTGACTTGCATACAAAACACAATACCTTGATGAATTTGAAATTGGTATTTGCCCGCATGGTATTCCAACACATTTGTGGCGCAGTGGTTAGCGTTAGTAGATCGCATGCCGAATACACGGGTTCGAATCCAGGAAATTACTTTTTAATTTTTTTTATGTTTTAACAGAATGTTGATGCACTGCATAAATATAAGAATTATGATTTATTCGGGCCACTGATCATTTAATAATTATGTATATTAAATTTTGTTACTAATAAAGACTTGTGCGGATTGCTTCATGTGGCTTGAAAGTTCTGTCGGAACTTTATTTGAACTTTATGGAACTTGAAAGTTCTGTCGGAACTTTATTTGAACTTTATGGAACTTCTGTTGGAACTATATGTGAACTTTATGGAACTTGAAAGTTCGGTCGGAACTTTATTTGAACTTTATGGAACTTGATGGTTCGGTTGGAACTTTATTTGAACTTTATGGAACTTGAAAGTTCTGTCGGAACTTTATTTGAACTTTATGGAACTTGAAGGTTCGGTCGGAACTTTATTTGAACTTTACGGAACTTGAAAGTGATTCTAATCGTTGAATGCGGAACTTTTGGTTACTTGGGGCATTGACCTTTTTATTCCACGATTGCTACTGTCAAATCGACCAATCAGCAACTGGCTCGTATTTGACAGCAAATTGGCTCGAAATCGCTACCTGATTGTCAAGTCCTGTCCCAGATTGTGTTCAATTGAGCGCTCTTTTGGAGCTTTGGAACACCATAAATGGATACACGCGTCGTTAGTCTAAAGGTAGAATACAGTGAATTTGACACCCTTGCACCAGACGCACTGAATATCACTTTTAAGTTAAAAAAAAAAAAACAGCTCAGGGGAAACATGTCAGAAGGGTCTAACTCGAAACGTAAACAATGACTTGGATCGTCGGTTTCTTACGAATGACAACACACCCACTCAAACTAACTAAATCATCTGATATAAAAATGCTCGTTCTATGAGCTGGTGTAGTCAGATTCCGTGGGTGTGCGAAAATCGACATTCAAAGTCATTGTTTACGTTTCGAGTTATACCCTTCTGACATGTTTCCCCTGAGTTGTTAGTTGTTTACCACACGGTAAAAAAAAAGTACCCAAAAGTAAGTTCTTTTCACTCATCTCAGCACTATAGTACAGGAACCCAAAAGTAGGTAAAGCGGGTCAAAGTAGTTTTCATTTAGTTGTGTGAAATTCTGATTTTGCACTAGTACTCAACGTTGGGTTCCCACACTTTACTACTTACCCCTGTTGGGTGGTTTTGCTCCTCCGTTTTTGACAACATTAAAAGGAGACAAACTAGTCAAACGTAGGTAAAAGTGAACTGGCCGTTGGGTACTTTTTTCTTATCGTGCACACCCTCTACGATTGTGGTAACAATCCAAGTTACAGGTTTTTACTCTAGTTGGAATGTTGAGGGAACTCTCAGGTGCTTTAACCACTCCTAAATCGCTAAATGCGTGTGCAATGACCAACATTAAAGCGTCCTTTGTCTATGGTAGCAAAGCGTCATAACATCAATAACACCACCCTTCGTCCTTACCTTATCCTCTAGTATGTTGGAGAACACATCGACGTGGTCGTCCTCCTCGTTGAGCATGGCGAAAAAGTCTTTGAAACTGTCCGGAAACGAGGCGGGGAACTGTCCGGACCCGGTCCCACCGGAAGTAGACGATCCAATCGATGGCGAACATCCGTTGCTACCGAATTGATTCGCTGTTTGTTCATGCTGCTGATGCTGCTGTTGATGTTGTTGTTGTTGCTGCTGCTGCTGTTGTTGTTGTAGTTGTAGTTGATTTTGCTGCTGCCTAACACCCCCGCTGCCACCGTCCATGATGGTCATCTCCTGTGTGACTTCCCGAAGCGCTCACATTCACATTATCGCGCGTCGTCGGATTGGATTGGATCCAGCCCTGATGACGTTGATTTAATACGGGTCGACGGGACTGGCTGCTCCTGTTTGTCGCTGTGGTGGCGAATATGAAACAAGAGAAATAAAAACGGAAATTGTAGGTGAGTGCGTTCGCTATATTGGCGTTGATGTGTAGGTTATGTATGCAATAAGGGGGGAGAGGGATTGCGAGCGTTTTATTGTTGTAATCAGGAAGCTTTTCGGTTGCTGTCTGCCGGAGATTATCGCGATTTAGCAGTATTACACGCGCCCGCGGCAGTACACAAAACCGAAGTAGGCCGCCGATTTGCATAAACATATTCATTAGCAGCCTGCTTCGTTTTTTTTTTAATTCAGGGTAATGATGCTTGCAGATAGTTCATTTTCGAGCATGATTAATGAATTTCTTCCGCAATTTTTCAGCGATATAGAGGCAATTTATCTTAAAATTGTAGTCACCGAACTTTGTCAGCCACAAGTCTCATTAATTAGCAGAACCTATCATCATAAATCCCCGGTCTCCGAAATAGCTTCACACTTAATTTCCCCTAGACGCTCGCCTACGCCAGCGGCAACCCATAACAAGACGTGTCTGTCATCCTAATGCAATTAATTATCACCAGCAGCACCAGCACTCGACGAGTGTCCCATATTATGCTGAAACCAAGCGGCAGGCCAACATCTCTGACTTCATGCCTTTCTTCTTTCATGTTATTTTTTTTTTCCAGAAACCAGCGCAAAAAATCCAGCTTCTTTCATTCCTACTTGAACCCATTTACGGAAACCCCCCCGGTGGGCAAGATTTTCCGCCCTGATAAAGGATTAATTAGCATCGTTCGCCAGTCCGCTGCTGGTGAATCTAGCAGAACGAGTCATAAGCTTTGATGTCTTCCATCATGAGCCTCCTTCTCTGCCGTCCAAAATGGTGGAGACGCTTGGTGGCTGGCACGGCGGTTGATCATAGTTGGCATAGCTACGTAGATTAGTAGAACCAGTAGGTGTCATTTCGCTAGAAACGGAAGGTGTCGGAGAACGCCTACTTGACCTCCTTTCAATCCGTTTGGCATGTTGATACAAAAGGGGGAATAACAGAGGCCAGACAACACCAGTCAAAAAGTTCTCTCCGCTCAGGAACCAACGACAAGAGTACGTTGGCAAAGTTCAAGAACACACCTATCATCGTCGACATCATCATCGTCATAACATCGTCGTCATTGTTTGCTAGTTTGAAACGGATGTGCCCCCTTCCCGGAGCGGGAGATGGATAATAACCAGTTTATTGTAGCTAAGCGATGAGAACCTGAAATGCACCACTGCAGCGCACTTTGAGACCGGTGTGAATAGAGGAGTTCCTCAAGGGCACTTGTCTGGCGGACGGAGAGACTGGCTGTGTCTACATATTGAAACAAGCCTTGCTTCTGCTGCTGCTATTTAGTAGACCGGCATCGTAGTAGGTGGTCTCGGCGTGGGAGTTGATAGCATCAATAGGTAGGCTGGAAAGTGATTTCGTCTTCAAGGGTTGCAACGGTGCCGGTCGGTGTGAAGGTGAGTAGTTGTAGTTGTTCGAAAAATCTTCCGACGACCACATTACAGAATCTGTTAATGTCACGAACATTGCAAATTCTGCATACTTTTCATACAAATCTGTAATAGAATCTTACATTACCCGGTTGGGTGTAGTTTTGTACTTTGTACTCTTGCTGCAACTTACTTCGAAGCAGAAAAATTTAACTGTTTTAAAAGCGCTTGGATTTGGATGAAGCGAGCTTTTATTTTTTCAGCTGACCATTGACCATTGATCATTAAACAGCAATCTTGTTTCGTAAACAAACCATCCCAAACCAACATGTGAAATAGCCGGAACAGACAAAAGTAAATAATGGCTGTGAACGCAGATTTCTATAGCGCACATCGCAGACATAGAACGTCATCCGGTGAAGGAAGTTTGCTCTAGTATCAGATGCTGTAGTTAGATTGCGTGGGTGTTTCGATTTGCGGAACATCAGCGCTACAAGCCATTGTTTACGTTTAATATTAGTTCTGTCTGTTTATCGGCCTCGAGGTTTGTCTATAAATATTATCTAGTTTACATCTATTATATCAATAAATTTCTAAAGGTACGTTTAAATGATAAATGTAATCCGACTATTCATTAACGTGATTAATCCGCCCTTACCATTTCAATTTAAACTATAAGCATACATCATACTTCAAACAACATTGAAAATCATTGCCAATCGTAAAAGGCTTGATTCTCAGCGTTTTTTCCACTTCAAAAGCTGTCAATAGGAACCATCATTCACAGATTTTCCGGATGGCTGGCTTTGATCATGTGCTGTGTACTGTCGGAATTATTGACGTGACAGCAAATCACCGGAACGTTAACTTTTAATCCCGATTGCTACTCAAACGTGACCAACCATATAGAGTATGGTAAATTTATATATTCAAGCAAAACCAATCGAAAAATGACGATTGATTAGTTAATTGCAATGGAGTACAGTGCTTTCCCGATTTTGTCTACCCCCGTCAACTTGTCAACTTTTTTCCCGATTTTGCATCATTTTGCATCAAATTGCATCACGGAAAAAATGCTGTAGGAAATTGCCTAGTTGACCGATCCTTTTCAAACTTAGTAAGCTTTAGGCATATTTATTTCAATCAACTTCAATACCATAACCGTACGCTCGCACCTCACGCTTAACTCCACTCATTAGGTTCTGTACAATATCTGGCTGCTGCTTCTTCTGTACGAAACCCACTTTTTCTTCATGTCTTCCTCAGATTTGACCTCCTTGGGATGCTGCCGTAGTGCCTGCTTCATAATAGCCCAGTATTTTCCTATGGGCCTTAGTTCCGGTGCACAACATTTGAACAGTGGCACAAAGCTAGATCCGGCCCGAAGATCGTAGGGCCCTCGTGTTGTTTCAACAGAGGAAGCAGACGCTTCTGTAGACCCTCATTGAGGTAATCTCCCCGTTTACAGTTCCGGTAGTCACGAACGGCGCACTTCATTTGCCACATGAGCAGATCGCTTGCCAAATCATGTATTTCTTAGCAAACTTTGAAAGTTTCTGCTTCCTTACTTGCTCCGGAACATCAAACTTGTGCTGGGCGGTGAAGAACAATAGCCCCGAAAGCTGCCGGAAGTCCGCCTTTGCGTAAGTCTCATCATACAATGAGGCTTCGTCAGCATCTGGGTGTTCAGTTTCCGGGCCCGTGACTTTTGCACCGTATTTTGCCGTTCGCCACGATTTGGAGCCTTCTGCACTTTGTACGTATGCAGACCTTGCAGGTCCTTGGCTCTCTGAACGAAAGACTTTAACAGATTCAACTTTTTGGCCACATCCCTGACCGAAGCATTGGGATTCCGCTTGAACGCTTCCACGACACGCTTGTGATCCTGATCACTAATAGAACATCCGTTCTGACCGCATTTCTCCTTCCAGAGTTTAATCACACGACTCACCGTTGACTGCACGATTCCGAGTTGTTTTCCGATGTCCCGATGAGAAAGTTAAGGATTTTCCAGATGCTTGCGCAAAATCAATATGCGACGTTACTTTTCGGGTGACGCTATTTTTCTTCTTCTTCTTCTTCTTTTCCTTTATTTTACGTCGGTCTCTGTTCCGCAATCTAGTGCCAATCACCGACGGACATCGATTGCCATCCATTGACGGCAACCACATGTGCAGGAAGGCAGCTTCCACACCTGCGTAGGATATCGTACCCATTCAACACACATGGGCCGGGACCAACGGCTTTACTTCCCTTCCGAAGGAAGACGTGACCAGAGATTTTTATGCCTCAGAAAAATCCCACCGACCTCGGCTGGGGATTGAACCCAGGCCCATTGGGGTGTTAGAAAGCAGTCACGCTATTTTTTCCAACTTTCGAAAAACTGACAGCGATAAAAATACACTCTAAACTACTTCTACCCAACATTTTCAAGAGAAACTACCCAATGGGTAATTTTCTACAGCGTTTTTTCCGTGATGCAATTTGTTGTGGGACACCCTTTACTTTCAGTTTTAAACATGAATTCTCAAAGTTTTCGCTCTGAACGATTTTTATTCTTATCCTTAGTTGAAATGTGATTATAAGGGGAAGCGGAGGTAATATCATAGAGGTAACTCTCAGACCAGAAGGACCCGAAGAAACGTGCTCAACTTTTTGGTTCAGCTCTGGTATTCTCTTCTGTCCCAAGCTAATCGATCCACCCCTCGAAACATAGGAAAATCCACGAATCCCTCATTTTATCTGTCAAACTTTCATAGCGAATCAAAACAAACATAGTGTAGTACTAGAATTTCGACTAGAATGAGGTACGTTAATTGATTTGCTTAGGACCAATAGGCTAGTCAAGTACACGAAACGAAAATCAATTATTTTATTCACGCGTTTCACTTATACATTTTTGCCAAAACATCAGTCTTATACATTCCATAAGACAAACGTCGATCCACAATGCGCCAACTGTGGTGCAGCACATCGAGCTACCAGCAAGGCTTGTCCGAAGCGTTAGGAATTCATGGAAATCCGCAAAAGGGCCTCCACGCAAAACCAGCCGGGTCGAAAAAAAGGTACCGGCACGCAATGAGCAGAATTTCCCCTCCATTAGACAACGGCATCCGAGTCCGATTCTTCCGCCACTACCGCTCAACAACCGTTTGGCTGCTGCTGCTGCTGCTGCTGCTGCTGCTGCTGCTGCTGCATCGGTCCCGCCAACTGCTGAGCTGCTAAACCATCCGGCTAATCCGAGCCGTCAGTCCTATGTGGCAACGGTTTCGTACCCTCCCCCGGGACTATCGTAGCGTCGAGATGATGCCCCACCATCGCATGAAAGCGAAGAGCTACTCACAACAGAGGAACTCATTACCATAATGGCAGAAGCAATCATCATCAAGCGCTCCTGCAGATCCAGAACCGAGCAGATTCTTGTTGCATCACGTTTCATCGACAATTATGCACCGTGAAACCATCAAGATCGCCAACTGGAACGCTTGCTCGCTCAAGAGCAAGATCATCGAGTTCGTTGACTTCCTCAACAAACAAAACATCGACATTGCCGTTAT